GACCTATCGATCATTTGAGAATCAATTTTCCTTTCGACGAATATACGCTATTTTTCAAAGGAATCACGATCGGAATCGAAGCAACAAGATTCAATACAAAATATATAACAGTTTGTTTACTTAAAATCCATTTGGATCCATGATCCATTCTGATTTTTCCACGCTGATTCTTCCCTTCAGGATGGATTCTGTTGATAAAAATGGCCGATTAAATGATGATTTTTTTTTCTTCTTTTTAAAGAAAATACGCTCTTCCAGTAATTATATCTATTTAAAAATATATGTATAAAGTTGGCATGAATCTCTAAACACGGTTTTACGCATCAGAATACGGTTATTATTATCTTCAAAGCGTTTTGTATTTTATTGAATGTATACAATAACAAACAACGGAACGGAGATATACCTTTTGTTTCCGGTCCGGAAAACTGCAATGATTTTGTATAACGGAATCCGGAAATGGCGGAAATTTCCGAGAACAGATAAGGCATTCTAACATGCAAGAAAAGACAAATTAAACGTTGAAGCATTCTCGCGTACGTAACAACCTGATCGCCATCTTATCCCCCTGCACGAGATGAGGAGGGATGCGGAAGATGATCGCCTTCTTGTTTTATGTATTAATTAATTTAAAACGTTGATATCACTAACCGATATCTCTATTCGCCCCCAACTAAGAATAATAGGGACGAGGAAGATGTCTGCTTATTTATTTATTTAATGGTTAATTAAAAATTGTGTTATCGGTACGTCATCTTTCCTTCGTCTACAAAGGATGAGGAAGAAGTTGGAGTATTTATTTGCTGATTTAATTAAAATTACGATATCACGAATATCATCTCTTCTCATCCTCATCCTGTTACGTTTACAAAGGATGAGGAAGATGCATATTTATTTATTTATTTATCGATTAAAAATTACGTTATCACGAATACAATAGTGAAGCTGGCGAGCGTGAGAGAAGGGAGAAGAAAAATTAAAGCAGGGTTTTAAATAATTGAAAAGGTTAGAATTACTGGCATTCTCGTCATCTTTGACACGTGCAGATCGCATGACGAAGAAGGGGGACGGTAAGAGGGGGAAGGAAGACGAGGGGAGAGAAAAAAGCGCGCGCGCGCTGGCGCGCTCGTCTCCGAGTGAGAGAGAGAGAGAGGTTGCTTTTTGGTTTGGCTATTGTCGCCCGCTTTGATGCGGTCTGTAAACAAGAGCGGGGGCTGCTGCTATGATTTACGATGCGTCCGCAGAACACTGGAGAGACAGCGCTAATGAGAAAGTCTTCGCAGGCTAACGAGTAAAAGAGCAAAATGTAGGCGGAGTCGGTGGCAGAGAATGTGATAGATGAGCGCTGCTGCCTCGCAACTGGATGTCTTGATGGGAGAAGGCTTATTAATTAGTTGAGCATTTCGCAGTCGACTGCTTCGTCTCATCTCAGAAGGACGGACATCTTGACATCTTTCTTTATCTTAGCTAAGCGGTGCAGCTGATGTAATGGGTTTGGAAGACAGTTGAACGGTGAACGGGTGATATGTTAATGTTGTGTGACAGCGGAGGGGGTGGACGGGCGGGGGGACGACAATATCCGCGCATCTTGTTAGGGTTAATGTCATTGGGACTGATGATGTCCCGTCTGCCACCGGTTTTTGTCGCTGACAAGAACGGGTGGGACGAAGATGTGTGTAATCATTGTTAGTCGTTGATGGTTGACTAACGAGTGTTGAAGAGCTTTACTCTTTTTTTTATTTTTTATTTTTATTTTTTGATGGAAACGTGTTGAACGTTCTCTTGTCACAAATCAATTGAAACGAATTAAATGGGAATGTTTTAATGTTTTCTTAATAAATTCTAAGAGTCTTTATTATACAAATTTCCAGTGACTTTTTCTGTTTCGCGTGTTTGTCCCGTTCGTCTCGCGACTTTTACGTGTGTCATTATTTAAAGAAAGGATTAAGTGTTTACCGGTTACCATAACGACACGATGCGTGATTTCGAATATCGTTGGCGTCACGCAAATAAACGTGTTAAAAACTGGGCGGATTGGACAACACTTTAAGAGAATATTCGGGCACGCCTCCCCTTTTACAGTTCAATGTCTATCGATTCGTCTTGTCAAACGTCATTCAACAGATCACCCACCCTTCAAAATTTCTAACATTAACGACTTTAACAAGCGTGATTAAGTTATATAATTTTATTAAGAGGATAGACGAGAGAGATAGAGAGAGAAAAGATGGTGAGCAGCAAAACTATTCTATTTAGTTAGAAATTCGGTATTTTAAAACCACTTGGAAGTGTTCGAGTGTGTTCTTTTTAAGCCATAAAAAAGTAATAAAACAGTGCTACTTCAACCTCCATTTGAAGATATCTTTAAATTTTTACTGTCTCTTTTACTATATTCTACTCAAATGTCATTCTAGCGCCTGTCAATGTGTGAACTGTATCTAAGAGATTGAAAGTGCTCCCTTTTTTCCCCCTCTCTTCGTGTTCTTCTTTGCAACTTAGGTGTCCAATTCGAGAGAAGAGCATAGTTTCTGTCACTTTTCACAGAAAAGGCGTCAATTTTTGAACAGGTTAGAGCAGTTTCTATCGAAATGTCCTCTGGCTACATGGAGAGGAGGATGGAGGAAAAAAACCTAGGTTCAGTATTTATTTATATCCTGGACGTTAACTTTGCTACAACAACTCTCTCTCTCTTTTCGATTCTATCCAATACTTGTAGCAGATTTCGATGATAGTTTTTATTTAATCCCATAAAATCTTATATAAATGAGCTTATTAATATATATATTCAAGAAATGCTTTCCGTCTATTTATAAATTTTTTAAAATGAATTTTTGGTTTATTTATAAGTAAATTTTACAAATTTAATTTTTCTAATAAATGTGGTTTATAATTTTTTTTTCCTTTTCTGTTATTGTTTACTGTCAGGATCAATTATATTATCTAAGAATAATTTCTTGGTTCGGGATCGGGTCGTTGTTTAATCCAAAACTAAGCGGTTTAGTATGGAAAGGGAAATGTTTTCTACGGGATTATCTTAATAATACCAGAGGATTTTCCCATAGAACTATCATTTTTCTATGCATTTACAATCCCTTCTATCGTTCAAAGCCATAAAACTTCCGTTCTTTCCCAGTTTTTCCGCCACATTCCACCTGATCGGACTTTCCTATTTTCGATCTAGCAAAAGGAAGTAAAGGAAAAAAAAAAAAAAAACCTTTCTCTCGGGGTCAGCGACCCTTTCTCGAAATTCCGCCATTTCCGACCGACCAGTGACGTCACGTGACACTGGACATTCCTTTCCGGAATTTCCGTTTGCCTGCAGCCCGTCGCCATAGCAACGGGATGCCCGGGATGCAGAAGCGCGCTAGAGCAGGTTTGCTCTCTAGAGGAATTCGCTTCTACCGTCTCTTCAATTTATTTGGTCGCCAGGAAGAGGCTACTACTGGTCTGGGGGGCCAGCAGGGGAGGGGGACCGCACCGCGTTCCTTTCCGGATTTATTAACGCTGTCTTGCCATAAGGATTGTCTGGTTGTTATAAGGCTGGCGTTAAACAGTTTTGTTCGCTTGCCTTCTCTCTCTCTTTCTCTCTCTCAACTCTCGCTCCCTCTCTTTATCCCCTCATCCTCTCTTCCCCTAATTGTATTTACATAAAAATAACTATCAAACTTCATAACTTGATAATTGGCATCTTATAATTCTCAATAATTCGTAACGGAGTTTAATTAACTACGTAATTAAATCCTAGTAAATTTTGACGGATTTTATAATCCAAAATTATTGCCAATTTATAATCTACAAAGAATAAGCTAATTCATATCCTTATTTAAATTAGCAGTTGTAGGGGAGAAGTTTGTTATCACGTCTACTTTCTCCTCATCTTTATATACTGATGCTTGTATGCGATGCTTCTTCACTTTTCAAATATTCTACCCTCACCAATCGATGACAACCTGTTTTGAACAAAACTTCTAACAGAAACAAAATTTAAGAAGTTGGAAATTGAAGTCGTTTCTGAAGATCGAGGACAGAAAAAAATAGGATAAAATTAATTTTACGCCACGTCATTACTACACTTACTTCACACACACACACACACACACATATATACATATATATGTATGTATATACGAACTTAGGAGAGTATAAATTTGAGATATTCAAAAAAAAAATAAATGCAGAAATGGTTTTAAAAAATAGCAAGAAACGGTACGCAAGTTTTCAACCCCCAACACAATGAAAAGAGACGAAGAAGGAAAAAAAAAGGGAAGAAGAGAAATAATTGGAATTTTTTTCCACAACCTCTCGTCATCTCAGTCGAATTTTCTAATAGATGCCACTCCTTACCACAAGAAGGGGGTGAACAGACGAAAAAGGGGGTTCATCTCTCCCGAACACCCCCAAAAAAGGGGGTTTCTCTCTCTCTCTCTCTCTCTCCCAAACACCCCCCTCTTCCAATGTCATAACCGGTCCATTTGGCAAACTGGTTGCTTGGAACATTTCTTTCGCTTTTCTTCTAATTCTCCCGCGTTTTCCGCGCAGAAGGCACGGAATTCATTCTTTTACAGACCTCTTTCCCCCTTCACTTTTTTTCTGCTCCCTTTTCCATTCCGCTAAAGGAATTTCTGGTCGGCAATTAATCAAGATTGCAGACTTAACACGCTCCGGTGGTTCTGCGGTTTCCTTACTGGGAATGGTTTTTTAGTTCCTCATCTCCCGATCTTTTCATTCTCTTTTTTTACGACTCTTCTCCTCTCACTGATTAGCTATAATGTTGTAATTTATGTCTTGCATCGTGATTGTCAAACTTATTAATGACAGCGTGAAATATGTAAGCTTCAATCTAAGTAAAGTCTAGAATTCTTAATGTAGATAACCGAATGTTTCTACATTAAGAATTCTATTATTGTCTAAATAAATCCCTTATCTTAATATTTAATCTGATTTTTTTTAGAGTTATGTCTACGGAATTTATATATATTTTTTCATAATTATTTTTTCAGTTCTTAGTCTACGAAACACTCAAGAAGAAGAACCTCCAGATCCTCAATTAATGAGGCTAGACAACATGTTAATAGCAGAAGGTGTTGCTGGACCAGAAAAAGGTGGAGGTGCGAATGCGGCTGCTAATGCCTCTGCGGCAGCATCGGGTGGTCCTGGTCAACCAGAAAATACTATCGAACATTCGGACTATAGGGCTAAATTGGCACAAATCAGACAGATTTATCACCAAGAATTGGAAAAATACGAACAGGTAAGTAATATAAAGTGCGTGATAAAAGTTTAAATTGTTAAGTTTTAAGATATATCTAAAGAATTGAATCGAAAAATATGGATAATTAAGTGTTATAATTTGAAAAAATTCAACTATTAAATTTGCATCCTCGGGCTAGAGCAATAACAAACTAATTTTGAAATAAATCGATTTTTAAATCTAAATTTTTAGCGAGTTTCGTGATAAATTAATCAGAAAAAGTAGGAATATCTCCGTAAAGAACTTAAAAGGAAGCCAAACTTTTCATTAATAAAGAACTTTTTATCGCTCTTGCCTTAGATAATGCTTAATTTCAGATACAAAAATTCTGTTGACAGTGATTTAAAATAATGTTTAAGACCCGAATTAACGCAAATTAGACATTAAAAAAAGAAATAGGACTGTTAGATAAACTAAAAGTGACCTAACTTAACATCATTTTCGTCATTCATGAGATTACAAGAACACTTAAAGTTTTCTGCAGTAGTTTGATCGAAAAAGTAAAACTTTAAACTAATTATATAAGATTTAATTTGGTAAAAGCCTGATGTATCATCAACAATCATAAGAAACATAAATTGAAAAGAACGAATCCCAATTATCATCAGCATCTTCAGCATCTGCGAAATGTCTTTGTTTATTATTCGCAATCTTCAACTCATCGAATCGAAGCAACAACAGTCGAGAATTAGATAGAAAATACCATTAATCATTAGGATAAATTTTAAAAAATAATAATAATTTGAACGCCTAAAATGGCCTCCAAAACTTATGTATCAACGGCTATCCAGCAATGACCAGTTCCCTGTATCCAAGAGGGAAGAGTTGTTAATAGAGAGACCTCTGACAACTGAAGGTCAATCATATCAGCGACCCCCGGTGTCCTGAGCTGTTAGTTAGTCTGTTAATCCTTCTCTTCCGACATCAACGCCTATAAATTTCCCGCACAACAACCTGCTGTTACCACGTCCTTGATGGACGATCTAATTCGATATGGTGAGACTTACACACAGCTAGCACCAGATATGGATTAAGATGAAGTAGAATCTTTGTAATTTGACTTCGAGATTTTTTCTTTTTTACTCTTTTTTTCAATTTTTTCTATATTTATTCCCTTTCATTCGGTCACTGTTAATAGCGCGTAAACTGGATAGAAGCGATTATTGAAACCCTTCTTTAAAAAAAAAATAATAATAATAATGTTTTGCCTTTTAGCCACGTGACTAATGATCTGACAGGCGGAACTTTGCTAAGAAAAACTCCTTTGCTTAGCTTCGAGACGATAAGTTTTTAATTATGTCATCGTTTTATTGTTAATGCCCATTGCCCCGTGCGATGGGTAACAACAGTTACACGATAATAACGAAAAGTTCACGGATGGTGAAGATGCTGATGACAATAGGAGAACCGTTCCGATAAAGGGTCTCGAAGAAGTCTTGCCCTCTCCCTGGGTGTCCTTAATAGTTTTCGATTCTGTAGTAGAAGAATGTCTTTAAAAACTCTTTTGTTTGCCACAAAGTCGATGATTGATACCACTATTTTAATACGCCGCACCCCTATAAATGTATCGCGAGACCCATTGCAAAGGGTAGGAGCTGATTTATCTTAAATCGTTTTGCTTAATTTGCAATTTTTCTGTTTGATATAAGCTCGTTTCTATAATTCCACGAGTTAGAAAAGCATCTGTTGATATTAGGATATACTGCAGCACGATTTTACAAGCATAAACCATCTATAATTAAGCAGTGTGATGCGGACCTTTTTCTTTCTTTCTTTCTCATCCATCAAGCATTTTGGAGCATGGGAACCTCACGAATGGCGGGTAAGTAAAACGTGACCTTTGTCTCGACCTCAGTTTGACTGGCGTTCATAGACTAGGCCTATATGGGGAGGGAGAAAATCCGGGAGGGGACCGTGTACCTCCTACCATCGTCGGGTCAACAGTGGTTGACCTCGTAGTTGCGTTGCTCTAGAGCAGATAAATTCGTGGTTCCTCCTGCTATTTCAATGTTTAATATGAAAGATTGTCCCATTTTTTAAATATATATAGATATATATTTTCCTTACTTCTCTAGTAGATATACGTGCTTCAAATCAGGAGCTTAGTCATCATTCCTCTCCCAATTTTGTCCATCATGAATATATATTTATGTATTGGAAACGCTCTAATTAGCACAGAAATTCCGAACAGATCAATATTTGCAGAGTTCTTTCTTGTAAAAAAATTGTTATAATGAGAACCTCAGGGCTATTGTAGCCTATAGGCTATTATATTTCATCAATATGACAATTGCATGCTCTTTTTTTCACTCCTCTAACAAAAGAGAACATTGCAAATTGTTATTTTCTTTAACGAGATTGGAAAGATTTAAATTGGAATCTATAAAGATTGGCTAAGATTTAAAAGAAAAAAAAATAAAATAAAATTGATCGACACGTTTCGAACTAAAACACGATTAGTAGGAGGAAAAAGAAATTCAAAAAAAGTCAATTAAAAAAAATCACTCCAGAAAACATATTTAAAAGTGGCTCATATCGTGCCCAATTTTTTGATTTTTTTTGAATCTCTAAAAAGTCAAATTCTTGTATGTACCGTACGTGAAATTTTGCTAAGACATCAATTCTGCTCTTCATCTCCTGCGACAGAATTGACAAATGTGATGATAAGCACTCCTTATACGAGTCTAAAATAGGCCTAGTTGAATGATTGAATGCTTTCCATGCATATATACATCACTAGACCAGCAGCTGCACAATAAATGAATGAATGTGATCAAAGCAAAAGTGGGTGGAGATGAAGCCGAGTCCACGCCCTGCCACATCAACCACTCTCTTTCAGATAAGGAGTGACTTTTCTGATGCCAAGCTAATATTGGAGAATTGACTGGGTGCCTCTTGTCCACATTAGGTACCTGAAAATAGATGGTAGTTTGGGGCGTGGGTCACTATTTCCTTTTTTTTTTCCTCTTCTCCCATTCTCCCTTGGGATGTTTTTGTATTAGTTCTATCTAGAGGTTATTATGTAGTTATCCTCTCGAATATAGTCCAGGTACGATCATGTAGAAAATTGGCATGACGTGCCTCCGGTTGCTTACAACAAAATCTACTCGAGCTTAGATTAACCCATTGCATCAATGTAACTACCCTCCGGCTAAATTAGAAGTGGTATATCTTTACTAATAAAATTTTGATGCCTAAATTAGTTAATGAAATTGCGAAGTTTTTTGATAAAATATAAGATTTTTTTAAAGAAAAATCGGTGTCAAATCGGGATTTATCTTCGAAATGGCGACCGAAAGACGTTATTTTGAAAGTCTCCAACACAAGAGAGAGAGTTTGGAAATCTAAAGAAAGATGGTTCAATGTATAAATGGTAGTACTTCGACCCCATCTTGGAAATGGATCTGGGAGGATTTGGTGGCATACACCGGACTTAGGGGGCCAAGGGGAAAACGCTCGTCCATCGGGACAGTTTGACAGCTTGTCAGCCCCCATTGGTTGGTAGCCCCTCCCGCTTTCACATCAGTGGTATTAGATGAACGGTAGCACCGCAGATGCTACCCACATCCGTGCGGTCAAAGAGATTTCAAAAGTACAGTTTGATCTCTCTAAATTTTTCACCGGACTCTTCCCCCTTATATCAATGAAACCAGTAGACGAAATAGGCTAAGAAATCCGGACTTGCCAGAAAGGGGAACGCTGGAAATGACCCCTCACGTGGTTAGAACGGTGGAAAAATATATCTACGAGCAGCAAAGAGGGGGTTGAAAAATGGTAGTCTAAAATCCCCATCTTCATTTCTATAGGCAACCGCATAACGTCGATGTTAACGTCATTTCGGATGATCACTTAATCATTCAGGTAACCATTCCCGTTCTTTTTTTTCGTAAATACCGCAGAAAGTTATCGATGATGAAGGACTCGAAGGATTCGTCTAGGATCTACCGTTGTTTATATATTATCCTTAACTCTAGAGACGAATTTTTCACTTCTAAATCCACCCAAGAATAGAGATGGGAACATAGATTTTTACCTATCGATTTAATAAATAACTCTTACCAGTACACTCTTAAAAATATATCTAAATTAGCCATTTTTTAACATAATTTACAACCTTACTACGAAATAAATACGCCGAATTATCAATTATTCGAAGAAATTCAAATCCACTTCTTACAGAATCAACTTAGTTCAACTCATCTCGCTTGGAAATTGCGTATGACATACTCTAATCATATTCTTGTTTTACATCCTTATAACTCGGACGGATACCTCCCACCATCATCCCAAAGCCGTCAAATTCATTAAAAACCACTGTCCTGGTTCGCAGACCGTAGTAATCATAAGTCTACACAATGCAGTCCCTGTGGTGCTATCAATCTTACCTCCCAGTTAATGTCATTATCCAACCACTAGCTACTTCCAATGGCCAAAGCCTGAATATTTCATATCAGATTTTACGAGTAAAAATCGAAACCTTATTACCACACTGGATCTACTCTTCTCTCGCCTTGTTTTACTTCCCCCCCTCTTCTTTGCCTCCCTATTCACCGTCTCAGTCCCAAATCAGATTACTCTTTGCGTCTAGTCCCAGAGGTGGAATGCGGGTTGAAAATATCATCTGCTTATTAGCTAGGACAGGATAGGATAAGTTTCTTTAACGTCATCTACTACCTTCTTATCCTCCTGTGGTTTAACGTGGATACGTGGATTCGTGAGAAGAAACCCTTCTACCGTGTTTGTTGGTTGACTAAAATTTTTAAATGGTTTTAAAATTCATTCCTTGTTTTTAAAAAGTTTACAAGGCTTTTGTAAATGTGTAGAAAATTTACTTGCCTTTTTTCCACTATTAAATATAGAATTTTAACCGTTTTCAAATGAATAAATTAACAATTTTTTCTCAATTGTATTAGTGTTTTTTGTTAATTTTACGTGTTTATACAAGGCATTTTGACTTCTTTTCCCTCCTCTCTTGATAGTCAAATAGTACTGTACATTATCTACTACTGAAATCTTTTTTTAGTAATAAATAAAATTATCCGCTACTGGAGTCCATTTTGTATTCTTACTTTCTCTGCGACTTTAATTATTATTAAGGTTGCGTGCAACTGAATCCCTTAAAGTCATAGCAATAAGTAATGTTGTTTGTTACTAATGCCACTTTTCTTAGTAGTAAATAAGTACTAATATAATCCTCTGTGTTTTAGTAGTAAATAGTTATATAATATTCATTTCTGATGTTTGTTCCAACTTTCTTATTAGTAAAACTTCAAAAAATTCAGTTTTTAGGAGGCCTAGTGATATTAACTCTCTTTTTTAGTGACTAATTTTATCAAACTCCCTTTTTTTAATATTAAATCCTTTATTTTTCTAATAAAAAATGTATTTTAAATATCGATAACTGAATAAATTTCGATATTAAACAAAATTCTTTCGATTTTAATGATAAATTAGCACGTTTAATGTCAATTTAACTAATGGGAGCTTCAGTTTAAAACAAGTTTTTACCAGAACTTAAGCGCTTATTCTTACTGAGGACTCGAAATTCAACAAGTCGAGCATTTTGTAAGGCGCAGGAAATAATCTATAAATAGTAAACAAACAGAAAATTAAAGTATAACTTGATTTATATATCATAAATGAATAAAAGACTGAAGTAATCCATTGGAAATATGTTGAATTGTTTGGTGGAGGGTGTTGATGCAAATAGTTGAATCAACAAAATAGATGGAGTGGTGTCATTGCGGAATGGATCCTAAACTTGTTTCTCGTTCTTACAAACAAGATGGGACTAGTGAAAAATTGTTGTCTGAGGTCATTAAATGTAAGTTCGTGACCCGATACAGTCCCGGACAAAAGATTGTTTCCTTTCCAAAGAAATAAATTAAGAATGAAGAGATATGTCAGGTTATATTTTTGAAACTTAATTCAATTCAAAATAAATTTATGTGCATCCTGTTTATAATTTAATTGTTTTTAAGTTAGTATCAAACCAAGTCCTACATATATATATAGTTAAAGGGTGCGTGTCATATATATATGTAGTTGTTTTTCTTTTTCTTTTTTTGTGAGTGACTTTTATACACGACGAAAAGAAGTTTGGTTTACAAATCTGAAGAGAGAGATAATAATTTAGATGCTGAGATTTTTTTCTAGAATTACTAAATTTGAAGCGTGCTAGCATCACAACAATAGAAACACGTTCGGAATTACCAAAAAGTAGAAGCGAATGAAAGAAGACATAGAGGCATCTGTACATTGTCAGACACGCTCTTATTTCGTGTTAGGCCCTATCCTTTGGCGATTTGGAATGCAGTTAATGCCATCAATACCATAAAGATAAATTTTCTTTCTATTCTAAACTTAGCATTAGCTAAAAATTCTCGGAGCATCAAACGACATACTGCCAACAAGGAATACACAGAATTTTAATCTTCTGTGCTTGTCACAACATTCGACTCATAGCTCCGGGGCACGTGTTTCTAGCACGAGTAGCATGTAAATGGAATCCGAGCTTCAAACCAACTCCCCGATTCTACTGTTCAACATACAGACCTCCATGCGGGCGCCATTTTTTACTATTTTCAATAGTAATCCTTTTCCAAAAAAAATCAAAAATCTACGGGTTACATACCAGCAGAATTTCGATAATGGAGGAATATTTTTTCTTAAATTTGTTACATAAACACTCCTCTTGAGTGTTAATATTTTGAAAAAAATACCCCTAGCTTATGGAAAATTATGAAGTTTAAAGATTCTTAGCCAGCAAATGCGAAAATTTTCATAGGGGCGAATTAATTTTTTGCATAAAATAAAGTCTAGGGATGTAACTCGCGTGGTAGATACGTGATGTAAACTTTAAAAGCTGGCCTAGAAATCAGGTTTCCAATTGCAACCCTTTTATCGACTTTGCAAACTATAGTTCCAATCCCTTTTTATAATCCGGCTCGATCAGGCCGTAAAATCCGAAACACATATCTTGACCCTTGACCCTTCATAAGTTGAAACTAAGCCGCGCACCAAACGCCAAGAATGACGTAATTAATGACAGAAGGAGCGCGATAAGGACGCCCCTCGACGACGTCTGCCGCTAACACCGACACCGCTAATTACAAAGCCGTCGGTTCATCCATCAAGCGGAAGTCGACCGCATCTATACCATTTCCGGTCACCTACAGCCAATTCGGACATTTAAAAAATCCACCGTTTTTAGTAAGAAAAGCTTTTCCCTGCAACTAATTCCCAACTAACGAGTAGGCTGCTCTCTATCCATTGTCACCAGAAGGCGAAGGAGAAAAGCTGTAGATAGAAAGAGACAGACGGGGGATGGAAAACATTGGGGGCCTCATAAATCTGTCAGGCCGAGGCTTTTACGACGACATAGTCAGGCTGTACCTAACAAATAGTCCTCGGCCAACTGCGGGTTTGCGGATTGTCAGCGTTAAAATCATAAAACCGTCTTAAAGGTCGGTTTATGTTACTTTAATGGTACTGCAGCCTAGTTCTTACTTATCGGTTCGACAGATTTCACTAGTGTAAATTCCTATATTTTCTCCAACAACGAAAATCTTGGTAAAGGCCTCCTCCTTTACTCTATTCTACAAAGCTACACGTCGGTAAGTTCTTTCACAGAACTAAACTCGGACTTCTCGTTACTTACGGATTTTCTTGATCTTTTCCTAAATCTAATTGATAATATCTTTTGTTTAAAATATAAAAAACATTATCAAAAACATATTTAAATAGTTTTTACAGGTAATAATTAAGTAGAATTTTTATAATATAATAGTCATTAGCTGGGATGTAAACATCGTTACCGTTGGTCAGTAAATTGATAAAACATGGGTTTTTCTAACTTTATATAAAATTAAAATTTAATAAATTTCTTGGATATTTATAGATTTTTCTTTTAAAATTATCTTCTAGGCTTGTAACGAATTTACAACACATGTAATGAATTTATTACGGGAGCAGAGTCGGACGAGACCGATAACACCGAAAGAAATCGAGAGAATGGTACAAATTATTCATAAAAAATTCAACTCCATCCAAGTCCAATTAAAACAAAGTACATGTGAAGCAGTCATGATATTAAGATCGAGGTTTTTGGATGCAAGGTAAGCAAAAATCTTAAACTCGTTCATATGATACATAACACGCTTTAGTGATGTATCTAATCAAAGAAAAATAGAGAAAAAATAACTAAAAAAATGTATAATTTAATTTTTGTATTTGTTTTCAACTAAAAACTAATAAATCGAATAACACTAATGTATTAATGTCGAAAATTGGATGTTTTTTTAAGCTCCTTTCCTTATTAAAAAAAAAGAAGAAGAACCTTGAACTGTTTGCTTCCAAATTAAAAGCTACTTCTAGTCGTAGTTTGAATAATTTTTTTATATATATATAATTATTTTTTTGCTTAATTTTACTCGAAAAATTATCAATCAGTGTTCCTAATTAATGGCAGCAAATTAATCTTAGCTTGTACAAAAATTAATTAGCTGAAGATCCATCTAAGAATTTTAATTCTATCAGGTTGTAAATTAAAGTTTGACTTTTCTAATATTGTCTCTCGTTAAAGAAGAGAGTGAAAGAGGGGGGAATACAAAAATAAAACTTAACGGAAAAATATTTTTCTTTAAAATAAACGATTTTACAACCTTCTGTCTCTCCCTTCTTCTATCGAATTTTTTTTTTTTTTTATAATAATTACTTATAGGAGGAAGATGATGTTTATCTTTAACAATTTCTGTAGCTTTAACACTTCATTTAAGGGCATAAATTTTGTAAAAATTCCCTACCGAATTTTTTAGTGTATATATCAATAGGAACCAACGGGGGTGAATTCTGTAACTAAAATGAACCTATCGGTGTAGGAAAGTTTAGGCCCACCCAAGTCGACAAAGGACCAGAAGCCAATGACTCATGCCATCTGTGCCAAACCTAGTAGACGAGCGGACCACCCCTGTAACGCTGACAGATGACAAATACCATCAAATTGCACGTCTCCGTAAGCGGGACAGAAAGGGAAAATGGTTGTAAGTACAGGTGACGAGACATGGCGCTGATTAGGCTTTAAGACGTGACCCTAACTACGATAATAAGTAGCTGTTTGTGCTGCACTCCAACCGATTATCGCAATCATGTTGTTGCCTCTTTCATGATATATGATCTAACAACTTCACAAACATAAAAGAGCTCGGTTGTTGAGTTGTTCCAAACATTTATTAATTTCCCAAACTTGGCCTTTTGCCTTACCGTTTTGAATTATAACTATTAAATTTTGTTAAAATTATAATTAATTATCAGTAACGTTGAATATATATATTTTTTCTTATTATATATACATTCCAAATTTAAATTCACACATGACCATGTATATCTAATTACAAGAATACTTTATAAAATTTAATTTTTTTTAACTCTAAAATCACTAGAGAAAAAGATATTTAAAAAAAAATTTCAATTTTCGACTTAAAAATTTCAGCGAAAGTTGAATTTTTTTTTAACAGAAAAATCTGAATTTAGATTTTTAAACTAGAAAACTAAATATTCCTTTTACTTTCTCCTTACAAACTTTAAATTTCTTTAAAATTTCACATTTAATTACAATGTTTCGGATGTCGGGTTTATAAATCCGTTTACCTAGTCCATCATTTCGATATAACAACTAATCTTGGATTACATTTTACACCTGAGCATGGTTACCATACTAAAGCATTATATACCCTAAGGACGGGGATTTGTTGCCATGAGAGCAGCTACAGAATCGTAGCCACTCACTTGCTGCAGTTGTTAAACGATTCAGGGGATTTATAAGGTTTCTCTCACTAATACCTCACTCGGAATATCTGAAAACAACCCCCTCACTTCCAAAACGCAAATTTTCCAACTTTTTTTTAAATAAATATATATATATATGTGTGTGTGTGTGTGTTTGTTTATATATATAAATTTATATCTGCCAGGTTGTCTTTCCATCTTTTTATATAATCAATTTATTTAAGAAAAAAAAAAAAAAGATATTTTTCTTCTTAAGTTCTTCAGATACGGTAACAAAAATTCTGAAAAAATATTCTCTACTTAATTGCAGAAACATTTGGATCAAGTATTACATTGAAGAGGATTCGTGAGTGATTCTATATAAAACTATTTACCAAATTAAAACCATAGTTAAAGATGTAAAGCCTTATATCATCTATGGTACACGAAGAGAAGCTGTTTTAAAATCCCGATTTCTTTAAAAAAAATAATAATAATAATATTCACTCAAAAATCTGCAACAAACAAACTGCACTTCTAGAAAAGACATTTCGTCCAAAAATAAACTGAATGGAAAAATGCCACAGGTATAATTTATCAAGATAGACACTCAGGTAATCAAGGACTGAAGACAAAAGAACCGTTGGATATGTGTATAGAATAACCATCCAAAAAATAAGTGTATGGAAGAAGAAGAAGAATAAGAAGAAGTGGAAAAGGAGGAAGAAGATTAAAAAAAAAACACAAAAAGAAAATTATGTATAAAGAAGACAAATGTGGTTTCTGAGTGGCATTTTCTCCCCCTCCCGAAAATTTTTTGCCATTTCGTCTTAACACCACCAAAGCCAAAGGTTCAAGTGGTTATTATTGTACAAGCTCATCTACATAGAACATTGTACAGAATTGTATTCTGGATGTGTGTCAATTATCTTTGACTTGTTTATCATCAAAAGTTAGCCCCCCTCTATTATAGATGTCACAGTGTTTGCTAAATAGTGCACCAACCATCAACATGATTAAAAAAAAAAAAACTTAAGAATAATAATAATAATATGAACTGTACGTTGATTTCTTTTTAATTTCTAATTTCTTTCTATAAATAAATTAGAAATTAGACTGTTTTGTCGCACATTTAGCACTGCCTAGAAGCGAGAAAAAAAGTTAATAAAAAAATACGAAAATTATAAAAAAAAATTCAAGAACTGTCCGAAAGACGAGAATAATTTTTGTAAATATTTGAAATTTTATTAATAGGCAATTTTTGGAAACAGAAAATGGATATTTGTTTCAAATTATTTTTCTTTTTTTTTCTGTTTCTGTTTCATTTATGTGTCTATATATAGCTATTGGAGTGAATTTTTAATTTTAATCCGACACAAATAAAAACATCTGTTACAAAAAAATTTACATATCTGTAACTTTGTTGAGTGTTTATTCTAGAAAAAAAAAACAAGACTTATTTTATCAAAGATATTTTTACTCTTTATTCTTCAAGGTAAGAAAAAGAACAATTGCTTATTAAAGGTTCCTCTCTATCCCTTGTTTTTTTTAATCTAAGAAATGTTGCTTTAAAGATAATTTTAACAAAGAAGAATTCTGTAATTGGTCCCACGGATAAAATCCCAGTTGAGATTTACAACCATTCAGACATTTTCTATAATAAATGACGAGCTTGGAAGATTTTGATTTTATTCTTTTCTATAGGAATTTATTCTTTCGGGATTTATACAATTGAAATAACAAGCTTCTTATAAACCAAATAGTTTTATTCAGTTAATAAATATTGAAATAAGAATTTTAAAAAATAATAATAAAAATAAATAAAAGCTCTTATCTTTTTTGAAGGATTACGCTCGAAGAAAATAACGAGAATTTTTACATTCGATTTTTTGAAATATTCGATACAAACTGCTGGAAATTATTAATTTAAAACGATATTTACATAAATGAGAATTTAATTAAAATATTAGTTAACTCGATTTAAATTAAATTAACTAACTCGATTATGATATTTAATTAGTTACCAATGATTAACCTTCAGTTTAACTCGGAGTTGATACTGAGTTAGTGTATAGTTAATCTGGAATTAACCTACGGTTAAGCTCAATTTAGCTTATAGTTAACGTCGAATTAAACTGTAATTAAAAATGGAGTTAATCTACAGTTAATGTTGAGTTAACTTAAAGTAAGTTAACGCTAAATTATGCATACAACATTTTAAAAATTGAGTCAATTATTGTATTGTAGCTTAATTAAAACGTAAGGGATTCGATTTAAAAAGCCAATTGTTTTATATTAATTTTTTAAAAAATTAAATTAGTTAAAGGACAAGTCATTCTATCAGAAAGTGAAAAGGTTATTTTATCAAGCGTTTTTTTTTACTTATTTAATTCTATAAGAATTGGCTGAATATAACTCGGAATCGAATTTTTGGAAGAGGGAAAAAAAAGAAAAAAAAAACAGGAGAAATTGGTGCATGGACCATCGCCCCTCTATTAGCCGATCCAAGCAATGGTGCTGTTATTAGGTCGATTGTTCCTGCACAGAATATTCTTTGGGAATCGAACCCGAAGCGAACCATTCCAGTCAGGATTCGATAAGGACAAAGCTGCTGTTACGCTTCAATGATTTCAACAATATTGTTCGGTTAGCCGTTCACAGATTAGGTACGAGTAGAATTTACTTCACTTTAGACGATCGAAGCATAAGAGAAGAGAAGCAAAGAACTAAAAATAAAAAAAAGAACCGTTTAGTTTCAACATGGAGATATATATTTAGGAAAATAATTCTTTTTCTCTTTCCTTCCTCCTCCTCCTCCTCTTCCTTTGATACAAATCCAATAATATCCAGTTATATAAATAATAAATTTTTCGAATTGAAAATATCCAGAAAAAAAATTAATTTAAATATATAAAAAACAAGAAACTAAAGTAGCAATAATTTTATAGAAGAGTAAATTTTAGTGAAATAATAATAATAATAATTGATTGAGTTTTGATTAATCTTCTTGAAGGTTTTTCATATTAAAAAGGATCGTCTTAAGAATCGATCTTTAGTTATTAGTCATCCATAAAAAGCAATCCGATCCACATTTAAAATTTAAACCGGAGCAATCAGAAAATGAAATCAATAAGAAGATTAATAGCTACTTTCCTCATATTTCAAGGACAAAAAAGTCATTTTCATTTCTAAAATTTAAAAAAAAAGTTTCCATAGTTACAAATTCACCCTCACTCTTCAAACTTCATTCTCTTTACTCTATCAATTGATAATTATATCTATTTTTAATGTTTTAATACAATAATTATAACTAAATTGTGCTGCTATAATAACAAAATTTAAAAAAAAAATTTTTTTAATTTACTCATTTCCTTTATGAAATTTACTAACTACTATAATAATAATAATAAGTTAGAAGTGGATTTAATTTGTTACTTTCCCTTCATTATCGCCTGCTACTATGGTAACAAAACATAAATGAATTTAAATTAATTGATTTTTCTTCTTTCCTTGAAAAATATCGTTACACTCTTTATGATATAGCAACAAAATATAAACCGTTTGATTTAATTTACTAGTTTTGTTTATGGATAATATCTGGACTGTTACTACAGTAATAAATTACAAATGGATTTAATTCATTAGTTTCTTTTAATGTTAGTCTTGCAATTTGCTATTGCAGTAATAAAATATATACAGGTTTAAATTAATTTAGGTATGTGTTATTTTCTTGAAAAATGCTATTAATGCTTACTACTATAACAACAGTACATACTCTATTGATTATACGCTAATACTGGGGTATAATATATTAAAAAAACTGTTAGTTTCCTTTAGAATTAGTTCTATTTTCTACTGTTGTAGTAACAAAGTACAGATGAATTTAATTTACTTTGCTAACATTAACCACGCTGCTGCTGCTGCTGCTGCTACTACTACTACAGCAATAAAATATATGCATTTTTATATTTAATTACATAAAAAATTAATTTAGCATGTATTAAAAATCTTCATAATTTAAATAAATTACCACAACTTTTAAATATATTTAAATATACAAACTAGATACTAACTTAGTAACATAATCACGTAATTTATCGAAATTAAAAGCAAAAAAAAAAATATATTATTTTGTAACATTTGTATTAGTGTTTACTTTTATGACATAGTTTCAAAATGTTAATGCCGGATTTTTAGGGGTGGGTACTACCTGGCGAAAGGTCAGGAGGTCACCAATGAGAGGTGGAGTCATACCAAACACGTGCCCTTTCGCGCCGCCCTCTTCTGGTTTGGAACAGTTCAACGACACTTCAAACGGGGGGTGAGGTAAGAGAGCTTACGTTTGCTGTTACGTATAGAAACAACCATTAAACATTGTTCTAACAACATATAAATTCGAATAATTCAAATCAGCGTTAATCTAAAATTAATTCAAAGCAAAATATGAATGATCAGCGTTATAATAATATTCGTAAAAGGTGGAAAAGAATTCGTTGAAGGCAGCGAAGAAGTGAAGAAGGGAGCAGAAAAACTAGATTTAAAATAAATAAATAAAAGTCCAAAGGCCTTCTATTATGTAAACAACTTATTTGTGAAGTAATAACGTATGCATGGATTCATTTTCTTTTCTGAAAAAGGATATTTTTGAATAACTTATTTTTCCACTAGAAACATCGTCAATAATATAGATAGACGAAAATGTAATTTTAAATAAGTTATTTTTTTAAATATACAGTATCTATACATGTAAATATACATATTAATATAAATATACATATCAAAAAAAACATTGAAAACACTTGTTTTTAAACGTAAACAACTTTCTCTTGACAAATAATTCTTTCAACAAAAGTTAAAACATCTTCCATCTTAACGCTCAATAAATAATATTTTTCTATACACTCCTAAAAGAAGGAGAAAATATTCTTATTTATATATACACAGAGTATACATACGAGCAAAACTGATTTTTAAAATATTCTATTAATTTAATATTTATAATAAAAATAAAACTAAAATAAAAAAAAATAGTAGCGTGAGGAGAATTCTTGCATTCTTGGTCACAGTTCACATATCTTGGACGACACAGACTGTGATGAACATCTAGTGAACTGCAGCATTTTCCAGATCTTTGATTTTGAAATTCGGACATCCGTGTTGTTTCACACAGCTTCCTCCAAGTTTTAATTTTCCACATGACTAACTCGGAGATGTGGGGACCAACAAATCTATTGGGACTTACTGGATTAAGCAGACTTCGTCCATCTTTCAGAATTCTAAAACAATGTTTTCTATTACATATTTTCAAATTTTTATATTATTATTAAAGTAAAAATCATACAAAGAATCGAAAAAAAATATTATATAAGTATATATTAAATTACTATATTAAAAGAAAAATTAATTTACTTTCAATTAATTGATTTTATAATTAAATTAAATTAATAACATTTGAAAGAGAAGTTTAAAAAAAAAGCAAAGAAAATGTTCCTGATTTTAATGTCAATTTTACTTAATTATAAATTAATACTAATTTAGTTTTAATATTTTTATAATTAATAAATTTTAAATTAAATTTTAAAGAATTTTTTTTAATTAAAATAATTTTTCAGCTGATTAAATAAGCCAATTACTAATTTTTTTTAATTTCTATTTCTTAAATTACAATATTTTTAATATATTAAAAAAACTTTTAAATAAGAAGGGGAAAAATAAATATATTCTCGTGTATTTCTTAAATTTAATTAACTGTAAATATAAATACGAGAAAATTAGTTAAATTAGTGAGTTAAATGTAATTAAATTGCATTAAATAAGATTAAATAAAATAAAGTTTAATTAACAAATGCTTATACAAACTAATTATTAAATTTAAATAATTATATAAAAGTCAAATTACTATTTATATATTTTTTTTTATTATCAAAGATAATTTTATTAAATAAAATTTACAAAAAAAATATATAGCTTCGAAATAGTGCAGATTAATATTAATCATTTTATTTTAATTAATTTTTTCAGATAATAATTTATTCAATTATTTTTTTTCAATAATAAATTAGGTAAATATTTTTTTTATATTTAAATATTTTTCTTATTAAAAAAAAAAGTACTTAAAATTGATTTCTTAACATAAAAAAACTTGAGAAAAA